TCCACCTATCGAGTCCTTCCCCAGGACCTGGGATAGGCAGATGTTGTTGTTTGATGGTGTGAAAGGTATTGTTGCAGGATATAAGCTGTTCCAAGTAAAGCTGCCTTTGGCAATTGACTGATGGTGATTTTTGTCAAAGCTGATGGTCTTCAAGTGGCACTCCAGATGTTTTGGGATTGCACCCAAGGTGCCTATAACTATTGGTATGATCTTTGCTTTTTTTTTGGCCACAGTCGTTCTATTTCTATTTTCAGGTTTTTATATTTCATGATTTTCTCCAGTTCTTTCTCTTCTATTCTGCTGTCTCCAGGGATTGCAACGTCCACTAGCCAGCCTTTTTTTGTCTTTCTTATCAACAACTGTTAAGCCTGGGGTGTTGTGTAGCAGATGCTTGTCTGTCTGAGTTCTAACATCCCAGAGCACTTTGGCTTCTTCATTTTCTATTACTTTGTCTGTTTTGTGGTCCCACCAGTTCTTGCTTGCAGGCAAATGGTATTTCTTGCAGATATTCCAATGCACGATTGTTGCTACTTTGTCATGTCGCTGTTTGTAGTCAGTCTGTGCAATCTTTTTGCAGCAGCTGACTAGGTGGTCCACTGTTTCTTCTTGTAGTCAGTCTGTGCAATCTTTTTGCAGCAGCTGACTAGGTGGTCCACTGTTTCTTCTTGTAGTCAGTCTGTGCAATCTTTTTGCAGCAGCTGACTAGGTGGTCCACTGTTTCTTCAGCTTCTTTGCAGAGGCAGCATTTGCTGTCTGTTGCTGTCTTCTCAATTTTGGCTTTGTATGCATTTGTTCTTACAGCTTGGTCTTGCGCAGCCAGAATTAGCCCCTCTGTCTCTTTCTTCAACTTTCCTGCTCTTGGCCTTTGCCAGGTCTTGTTGCTATCTGCTATGCCACTAGGTTTGTGTGTGCGCGCGTGAACTGGCCATGTAATATTTTGCCTTGCTATGTCTCTTTTCTATTCTTCATTTCGTCTTTCTTGTAGGCCAGTTTGGTCTCTTCAGTATTCAGTAAGCCTTCATGGTGTACTAACTTCAGTGCATCTTCACTGTCCTTCAGATATTCTTGTAATGACTATTATTATCATTATTATTATTATGCATTGCATTGCATATGACATTGGAGATTTTCTTTCAACTGAAAACTGCAGCTTGAAAAAAGTGGCAGTTATTCAGAATTGTGGCCAAGAGGAAAACATTAAAATCCCCCTATTGTGGCTTCATATCCAGTCACACATCAATATGTAAGGGTTGGAGTTTGTCACAATATAGCAATGCATGTTTCATTGCTTGCTGTCCTCTGTGGATATCTACATTAGCTGCTTTTACTACCAATTTGTAAAATTAATTTATTCATTGACACACCTTAAATTGCTCCCTCAAAACCTCAAACCACCTCCAAACAACACCACTGGAAATGCCACTATCAATCATTTGCTTGATATTTTCATGTAATTTTTGTGTCCACTGCAGTCTTCCACTGCCCCCCCCCTTTTTTAATTTTTTAAGTATGGCTCCTAGCTGTTAAAAATTGCCTGGTCCCCACTAAAGAGGATTACAATAAACATAAAGAGGTATAAATTTAATTGCCACAACTGACCAGTTCAAGGGATAATAGCTCTCAAGTCATCTTTCTCAAGTTGAATCTCTCTGCCTTTGTTGGAACTGGAATTCCCATAACTTCCAGCCAGCATGGCCACAAGCCAATTTCTGCCTTTAATTATTAGAAATGGCAATGTTTGCCTCCAATATATTTTGAGTTGCTCCATATGAAAATAAAGGGCACATCCCACTAAACACCTCAGAACTTACGCATCTCTTGGTCCTTCCTGAGAGAGGTCAAAGACCTGACGTGGATTCAAGTACCACATGAACATTTGGAGCACTTTAGTACCCTGTAAAGAAAGAAAAAGAAAACTATTAACTTCTCTGAAATACAATTCATGTATCTCAATCTTAGGATAAATAAATGCATGATGAAATACTTCACTAGTGTCATATTAACTTGCATGGGGCAAGGAAAGATACAATCGACCCTGGGGATGGCTGGTGCCTTGACGATGCTCCCTGAGTTTATTAACATCTAATTAACATCAGCCTCTTGGAAGTATCATAAAGGAAAATAAAGGAAGTTTGTTTTTAGTACATTTTAATTAATTAATTAATATTTATTTTAATTAATGTTTATTCTGTTTTTATTGTAAACCACCCAGAGTCACCCCACAGTGAGATGGGCAGTGACAAATTTGAAATATAAATAAATAAATAAATTTAAGAGAACTCTTATTTTAGAACCTACTTCCAGCCCCTAACTCTTCCATCAAGCTATAGGCATCTTTTTCTGAGATCGAGACATTCTCGATTCCTTCCTTTGGTAAAAGCACATGGGGAAACTCTTTGTGTTTGGTGTCCCATGTTTACCTGATTCCCTCCACTTTTCGGATTCACAAATACAAGCAAGGGTTTCATGAGAGGGGAAGAGATAGGCTTAATCACAAAAGGTCGTCCTTTGTTCTCCTAGATAAAGGAAAAGGAACGCATCAGCAGAAGGCTGATTAGTGGTACAGAATCACCAGCCATAAAATACCCAAACGACTTCTTATTAAGAAAACAGTCATCATAGGGACTCAGAAAGTGATTCCCCCCTCCCAAGGAAATCAATACATCAGTTTGCTGAGGAAGATACCAGTGAGAGATGGTTAACCCCATTCTACCTCTTTGTAAAATTTAACTCAAATGTCCTGAATAATAGAAACAGGAGTCTCCACAGATGGCTGTCTATGCAATTTCACTGAAACAGGGATTATGCACTGAGTTTAGAATGGGACTTGGTGGGGGGGAGGGAATTACTATTCTCTAAATATACGTTATATTTAGCATCAGTATAACATGCTTCTAGAATATAATAGGAGGTGTAACCTAGCATAACTGAAAGGGATCAGATTGGATCAGCTGTTTTGTTATAATTATTTTTCCCCTAATTAATCATCATAACAAATGGTTTGAAAGACTTACCTCATTGCCTCTTTTACTGGCTTTCCTTTTAAAAGATGTTCTTTTCTTCCGCCTGGTTGAATTTTTCAGTGAATTCTGTTTTGTTTTGTTTTTAAGAAGAGGAGGAGGAGGAGAATTTAAAAACAATTATGCCAAACAGAAGATCTCCCTATAAGAAACACCTTTTGACAGTCCTTTGGAGAATGATACACCACCTGGCACGCATGCATGAGTTGAAAAGACATGCGTCTCATGCTTTACATTTTCACATCACTGTTATGGAGAAAGCCACACACTAAGACCAGACTGGTACTTTCAGAACTGGAGACTTCCAATGCTGCGAGGGAGAAGAGAACTAGATGCTCCCATAGACTCACATAAGAGCACATGCTGTACCTGCCAACCCTCCCAATTCAGGTAGGAGACGCCCGTTTTCCTTCCGGGGCTCCAATCTCCCGCCCAATCAAGTTCGTCTCCTGGTGTGGAGACCACCTACATAAAAAGGTTAAGGAGAACAAGATAAAGCCAGCTATGCTCTGGGGGCCTTTTTTTCTACTTATTATTTTTAAACCAATCGCATTAACCAATAGGGTAATTACCTGTTAGTAAGTTAGGTATGTCCTCCTGTCTCATATCAGTTGTCATGTGAGATCTTAGATGACTTTCTAAAGATAACATTTTTAGAGCTGATTCACACACTATTGATTTTAAGTGTACAAGTAGTCCTCGGTTAATGACAGTAATTGGGACTGGAATTTCCATTGCTAAGCAATGCGGTTGTAAAGTGGACATCATGTGACTGCACCACTTAGCAATGGCAGTCCCATTAGTCCTCAGTTACCATTGTTAACTGAGAACTGCGTGGATCATTAAGTGAGGACCTCACATAATGACTTCTGATTTCCTTCTGGCTTCCCCATTGACTTGCTTGTGGGAAACCAGCAGGGAAGGTTGCAAATCACAATCATGTGACTGCAGGACTTTGCAATGGTCAGAAATCTGGGCTGGTTGCCAAGTACGCAAATCATGATCATGTAGCCATGGGGGTGCTGCGCTGGCCGGAACTTCAAAGACTGGTGTAACTACCACTCATTCAGCAAGTTTGAACAGTCACTGAATGAGTGGTCATTAAATGAGGACCACCTGTACAGTGAAAAATCATAGCAATGAATTTTGCACTTGTGTTGGCAAATTCATGCATCAAACAGGTTGGCCTAAGAAACATCAAGTTCCTGTTCAAAAACTCAAATCAAAATGATCCATATTTGCTGATGCATAATGTGGGCAACAGCTGTCAGAGGTGTTTCCTTATGCAAGAATTATCTAACAAAGGTATGATTTATAAGATACCCTATATAAGTTTGAAAAATTTCAAAGAAAAGCTAACTCTTGGTCACTTAGATCTTGAGACATTCTCTCAATGTTGAGCTAGCTGGATTACACTTAACGTTTAATTTTATTTCATTGTATTTTTAAAACTAGTAACAAAAAAAGGGGAGAATGGAGACATTTTAGCCTTTTTTTAACTATCTGGGATTTGTTTGGTGTATATGTGAGCAAATAATTTCCCCTTCTCTGTACAGGTAGCCCTTGACTTACAACCATTCATTTAGCAACCGTTCAAAGTTATGATGGTGCTGAAAAAAGTGACTTATGACTGGTCCTCACACTTACAACTGTCGCAGCATCCCCACTGTCATGTGATCAAAATTCAGATGCTTGGCAACCATCATGTATTTATGACAGTTGCAATGTCCCAGGGTCACATTTGCAGCCTTCCCAGCTGGCTTCCAACAAGCAAAATCAATGGGGAACCAATTGAGTGATTCACTCAATGACCATGTGATTTGCTTAATGACCATGTGATTCACTTAACAACCATGGTGATTCGCTTAACTACCACCGCAAAAAAGTTATAAAATTGGGTGCAGTCATGTGATGCCTTGCTTAATGACCACACCACTTAACAACACATTTTCCAGTCCCTATTGTAGTCATAGGTATGCATACAGGTAGTCCCTATTGAGGACTACCTGTATGCGTAAACTATTGGCATTGCATTCTGTACCACTCAGTACCAAGTCCCTGAAAATTCCAGAATGCAAGATGCATGTTTCTCTTGGATGGATTATGTTCAAAGCCACAAAACCATTTTCTCCATGTTGAAATTCCTTGAAAATATAATAAAAATTTAAGAAAAGCAGTTCTGCGTATACTACAAAGGAATAATGCAAGCTATCCCAATAGGTGAATAGCTCAAGAGCTTGCTTTTGCAAATATTCAGGATCAAAGTATGATACTTTAAGAAGGATTCAAAGAAACTGAACATTTCAGTCCTGTGAGGAAAGATTGAAGGAACTGAGTATCTTTAGCCTTGAGAAACAATGACGGAGAGGGGATATGATAGCACACGTCAGATTTTTGAAAGGAAGGTCAAGATCTGTCTACTGGGTGCAGAACACAGAATAATGGATTTAAATTACAGGAAGGCAGATTCCAACTGAATGTTAGAAAAAACTTCCAGAAAGTACAAGTAGTTTGACAGTGGAACCAATTATCCTGAGAAATATAGGGCTCCACTTCACTGCATTTGTTCAAGCAGTTGCTTAATAACCATCTCTTGAGAATGCTTTAATTGTATTTCTGCACTGAGCAGGGGCTGGACAATAGCCTAAATGTCCACCTTCAACATTATAATTCTATGAAAGCAGTGTGGCAGAGGAATATTTGCCATTCTTTTACACCTAATGATAAATACAGTAGGGTTATCCACCATGAGTCACGTTCCCCCTCTTAATCAAAAGAACGAATGCCTCTGGTATGCATGACTACAACGGTCTCTTAACCTGCATTTCTATACAGGTCACTTGAATTGTTGGTAACAGTTCCATACAGAAAAAAATATTCCTGCATTTTTCTCCACCTCATCTAATTTGATGAAAGGGAATTGGCAATTTCTTTCAAAGGAGAAGATCGTTTCAGTGATGTTCTCATGGGTGGAGTGTATTGTCTGCTTCAGTTAGAAGGTGGCCAAGTGCTTTGTCCTCCTCCTTAGAATCAGCTCCCCAGCATGGTGCAGCCTTCTTGGCTTCCCATATTTCAAATAAATCCCAAGGGAAGACAGCATGCAGGAATACTTCCCATGAGGCTTTCAGATGTGTGGGCAGATTTCAAAGTCATAGAAAGTTGTGTTACAAAAATAACCACAGCATTAGCATCTTCTGCCATCTCCAACTATAACATAAGCTCACAAACATGAGAAATGCTCATGCTCCCTTAGAATAAGGTAAAAAACCAAAATCAATGTTTCTTTTGAAGAGGAGAAGTTCTGAGAAACTGCAGGCACATTTTAGCACAGGGTTCTTTATAACAGGGTTGTGAAGCCAAATCCCTCTCCTAATAAAAATTCCACTGGTCATATCACTCTTTATTGAGGAACATTTCAAAGAATCCATCACCAGAATCTCAGTTCAAGCATAAAGAAATCATTGTTCTGTTCCTGGATTGCTGTATGTTTATTTTTTCTTTTCTTACTTTGGACCCTGTTGTAGATCATCTCCAAAACTTATATATTCCAGTGAAGAGATTATTTGCACCTTCCTTCTGAAGGAGATACCTGACTACACCTACTGACTCAATTTCCCACATTCATCCATGCATTTAATAGGAAGCCTGGAGTCCACACAACAATCTCTTTCATACTTTCTCTGAACACATAGACGCTGTTCTCCACTCCATATATTCCACCTATTCATAATGGAGAGAACTCAATATAGTTCAAATTACCAAGGTATCATTTGCTATGAAAGGGGAAGGAATTTATCACAGTGCAGCAATTCCAAGGGAAGACATTGTGATTTGCAGATATCTCTATGCAGCAAAGCTTTTTTGAAAACAAAAACAAAAACAAATTAAAATCAACTTTGAATATTTTTTCTCATTATCTAACTATAGAAGTATGAAAAGGAAGTATGTATGTTGGCCCAAAGCTTCATTGAACGATATAGTCTGTTAAAAATAATGGATGTCTCTTTGTTGTTCTGTTGCACTATATATTTTTCATAAGACAATATAATTAAAAAATACCTGCTCTTGACAATGAAACGGCCATTGGCAACCCTACTAGTACAAGATAACTTTTCTATAGGTTATAGGCATATTAACTGGAAATCTTGGTAACAACATCCAAAGTTCCAAGGGAGTAGGTGAGGATGTGACTTCTGACACAACATTTCATGACATGTCCCTTCTCCACATTCTCCAGCTTGGGGAAAAAATTGGTCAATGCAGCAGACAATAGACTGAATCAAGAGACTTGTGGAGGAACAAACCAGGAGTTCAGCAACTGCCTCATTAAACCAGACCAAGGATCACCTGGAAAACCTAGACTAGCTTTACAAGAACCTTGGCCATTTGCCAAACTGTCCAGTTTGAAAAGCCAGTTCATTTGACTTCAACCATGTTTCCTGTGGGCTCTGGTGATACATACTTTTGCTTCTGGCTGTACCCACTGCTGGAAGGCTGAACCTGGAAACCAGTTTTCAGTTGAGAGTTCAACAGGAAAGAGCTTCCCCAGATTCTTGAGGGGGTAGTTTAACAACCCTAACCCTAATTCCCACATGTATATTTAAATTACTTCCTGGAAGGAAGAAATGGTTGCTTTTGACCCCAATCCCCAAGGTGGATTTTGTTTTATTCTCCCAGGTTTAAAATAGTACCCTAAAATAAAGTTTTAGAAAAACTAACTGGAAAGGAAAGACAATGCCTAATAGCAATTAGGGGTACAGCTGGGGGTAGCCAAGGGCAGTATAGCATGTTTTCCCCCCCGTAGGAATATCAACAGTCTTAAGCCAAGTGAACTGATCCACACTGTCAGAACAGACCAAAGCATGCTGTTACCTGAGGCTTCTTCACCTTAATGATCCAGGTGGGAGGGACAATAACAGCAGCATGGGCCCCAAGGGAACATGGCTCCTCAATGTGCTGCAGCAGGAAGCAGGTGACTTTATTGTGAAACTAGAGGAAAGAAAAGCAGAGGGGTCTGTGAAATGAAGAGAGCCTGGAGAAGGGCAAAGGTGAGAAGGGGGAAAAAACAAAGACAACAGCATTAGGAAACAGACATGTTCCAGTCCTCCTTTTCCATTCCTCTGAAGCATTTTAGGCCCAAAAAATACATATCTTTAAAACTGCTCTGTTCATAGACGACATGTTCTGTACTGGGGGAGGGAGAGGACTATATGAAAAGAAGGACTTGGAAAAGAGATGTGAATCCCTCCTCCACTGCCATTTATGTTGCTTTGCATTCTTTTCTTTCAGCCTAGATCGCTGTTGGCACAACTAACTTAACCATAAGATATCTCACAAGCCTCTTTCCCTTATTGTATTGGTGAGAGATTGGGTGTTTTGTAGAACCTCTAAATTATTATAGTCTGTATGAACTTGTATAGGGTGGGTTGCTCCTTCCAGCAGGTGTCTCCACTGTTGAAAGGCATTTTTAGCACCAGTAGCTCTTTACTGAAAATATCATAGTTCCTTTCTGCTGGGAGGAGCACTCTGAGGTAAAAGGCACACGGTAATAAATCTGCTCCCCCTTCCTTCTCTGCCTGGAGTAGAACTGCACCTATCACCACATCTGAGGTGTCTATCTACACAACAAAGGGGCAGGAAGGGTCGGTGTGGTGGAGGAGGGGCTAAGAAGCAAAGAGGTGTTTTAACTCTTGAAACACCAATTGCTCTTGGGTTGACCAGGAGAATTGCCAACCCTTTCTTAGGAGCTGGGGCAGTGGTCTTGCAAGATCAGCAAAAGTAATGATGAATTTCCTGTAGAAGTTAGCAAAGCCCAGAAAGCGCTGCACATGTTTCACATAATGGGGGGGTGGGGGGTGGGAATAGCCTATACCTTTGCTGGATCCATCTGTCTACCTTCTGTGGAGATGATTCTGTAGCCCAAATAGTCCAGCTGGGACAGGTCAAATGCTCATTTTTTTAGTTTGGCAAAGAGCTTGTTGTCCCGTAATTTTTGCAATACATTTCTGGCATGGGTGACATGCAAGGAGGGATCTTCGGAATAAATTAATATGTAATCTAAATACACGACTACATATCTGTCTAAAATTTCTGAAAATATTTCATTCATGAATCTAGAAATATGACTCCACAGTTAACCAGGCCAAAAGGCATCACTGTATATTCAAACTTGCCGTGTATTGTATCAAGGGCTGTTAAATATTTATGTCCTTCATTCATTCCGATTGGGTTGTAAGCACTTCTCAAGTCTAGTTTTGTAAAGATGTTTGCCTTTTATATCTGGTCTAATAGATCTGAAATAAGTGGGAGTGGATAATGGCCTCTAATTGTCACTCTGTTCAGTTTTTTTGTAGTCATGAATAGTACACATGGGGGTTCCGTCCTTTTCCTTCAGGGTTGCCACTGTTTCTCCTTCTAGTTTTTTGGGTACAAAAAACATAGGTGCTGAGGCTGGTGAATTGGAAGGGCAAATAAATCCTTTTTTGATGTTGACATCCAGATATTCCTTGAGGATGGCTAACTTGTAAGTAGACATGGGATACTGTCTCTTTGCTGAGATTTTGGCTCCTGGCTTCAAATTGATGGTGCAATCACAAGCCTGGTGGGGAGTTAAGATGGCTGCCTCTTCCTCCCTAAACACGTCTGCAAAGTCTGCATATTTTTCTGATAGCACTGATCCTCCCTTGTTCTGCAATGGAGTGGGGGGATAAGCTATCATTGCTTGTAAGTGATGTTGCTGCATTTAGGGGAGGGAAATGGGAGTGTTCCTTGCTCCCAACTTACATCTGGATCATGCAGCCAAAATTATGGGCACTTAGAAGAAGGCAGTTACATAGAGCATTATAAACTCTGTGTGATCTTTGATTGTCAATTGCAAAGGAGTCGTGCGCTGCAGAATTGGTCCTGCTTTTAGTGGCTGCCCATCAATAGTCTCAACTATCTTTAGGCTTTCTAGAACTTGATTAGGCAACTTTAGTTTCTGCACTGATTCTATATCTATGAAATTAATGGTTGCCCCAGAGTCTCTAAGAGCAGAAAGTTCCACCTTCTGCCTGGAATCTAAAGTAACAACAACAGGAGTAATTAATTGCCTTTTGTCGCCTGTCTGAGCTCTCCTTAAATGGTGGATACCCCCCCTTCAGAGCTCCTGGGAGGGAGGCCTGCAAAGTTTCATTGGGGCACTGCTTGGAAGCAAGCTGGGCACTTACTGGCTTCATGCTCTGTCAATTTACAAGTTCTGCATCTTATTGCTATGTCAGCTGCTGGCACTTTTATTGGACATGATCTGGCTATGTGCCCTGGGGCCCCACAGTAAAATATAGCCCCTGATCCCTTCTTCTTTGCTTCTCTCCTGGTGACAGGGATCTCTTGGCTGCTCCAATTTGCATGGGTTCTCCCATGCTGGATTCCGAGGAGGCTCTTGGGAGGGGTGGTATGAGGGAAGACAGACTGTACAATCTTTTCTCCTTTCTGTTCCTTCCCTGCCACAACTCTTCCAGTCAGGCGTCTATAATTATACAATGCTGATATAGCTCCTCCAGGGTATTTGGGGTGCCTTGTCTCACCAGCTCATCTCTTAAGTCCTCAGTCAGCCCTTCTCTGACCTGGTCAGTTAGGGCTAAGTCATTCCACCCTACATTTCCAGCAAGTAATTTAAAGTCCAAAATATATGCCCTTACTCTTCTCTGTCCTTGTTTAAGCTTCCAGATCTCTCAACTAGCTGTGATTCTCTGTATGGGATCCCCAAAGTGTCCTTTGAGTTTATGCATGAAGTTCTGATAATTATCCAGCACCGGGTTGTTGCCCACAATGAACAGTATTGCCCACTTAGCTGCTGCTTCCTTCAGCAAGCTGAGCACAAAAGTCTCCTTGGTGCAATCAATTGGAAACTCCACCAGCCTGCCTGCTATAAACATTTCACACTGAGCAACGAATGTCCAGAATTGATCCTAGTCCCCTCCAAACTTCTCCAGCAAGCTCCTATGGGAATGCAGGAGCACTGGCCGGGCCACCATCTGTTGTGCTGCCATGGGTTGAGGCAAATTCTGCCCCAGCTGTTGCGTTAGTTGTATCATGGCATTTTGCAAATAGATCATCTGTGCATGGACCTGCTGCTGGTATTGCAACAACACTGCTGCCAGATACTTGGCAGATAGCAGGATTCCTTGATATCGGAAGCTGTCCCTGAAATTCCTCTTTGGAAGAGAATATGACACTTGCAAGACTTTCCAAGTTTCTTTCTAAGAAAGAATACTTTCTTAGAATACTGATACTTTCTAAGTTTCTTTTTGTGGCCATTATTCAGTTGCAAGCTCCTCCTCCTTTTATCCTCCTCCTTTTATCCTCCTCCTTTTTCTCTAGGCAGCATCTGTTCCTCTCACTTCTCAAAGTCATTCCCACATACCATTACAGGGGTGAACCAATGCATCTTTAAGGGGTACAAGGAAAAAACCCTCTTTCAAGGATTAATTCACCACTGCCAGAACCCACCCATATATTACCTCCCTGGCAGGCTTAGCAAGCCAGGTGGGACATGGATCTAAAGAGCAGGTGGCCAAACTCACAGTCATAAGGACCCTGTCCACTTCCTCAGGTCCATCAGGTTCAAACCATTCCCACAGGGGAAGACTGGAACCTCAGGGCTTCCCCTACCCAGGAGAGCCTGAGTCACTCTAAATAGGGCTGCAAATCAGCTATCTGCAGACGCAATAAGGGTGGAGAAGTACTGGTACTTCACCACCCTTACCTCCACAAGGTAGGCCTTAATAGCAGCTCTCATCCATGTTCAGTCAAGTTCACTCCTTGTTGATCTCCATCAGCACTCCAGACCTCTCTTAACTCATTTCCTCTCTCAACTCTTCCGTGAACCACAGAAAGTGATGGGATCCATGAGTCAGGAGAGGTTGCATGGGCATGATCCAGTCCAAGGCCTCAGCCACCCTCTTATTTCAAGCAACAACCAGAGCCCCAGCCAAGCCATGTAGCAGACCACCAGGAACAACCCCCAGCTTCCTCTGGAACCAGGCCCATCAGTTGCCAGGGGTGGACCAATCTAATAGGTCCAGCTAAAAATTTAGCTAAACATCAACTTCCACAGACTTGGCTAGCTTGGTTCCAAGGTGAGAGTGCTGAGAGTTATATTTCAGCACCATCTGTAGAGCCATCAGTTGTCCATTTTTTTAGAATTCAGGGGGGGGGGTTATATTTTGTCACAGTACCCCAGCATTTACTGACTAGGCAGTCACCAGACTTCACTTAACTGTTGGGCTCGCTAACGTATGGTATATTCTTCATACTTGTTTATTCCAAATGAGCCATCTCAAGTAAGAAATGAGCAACAAGTGCCTTAAAAATCTTCTTATTATTTTAACCATTTTCTTTCTGCAACTTTCTCCTAATGGCATATGGTTAAAAAAACTAAACACAAAAATATCAGAATTATCAGAAGCAATGAGAATTAAAATTATCACAACCATTTTAAAAAGTGATGACAAAATGAAATCCCAGTGCTTTGTATTTAAAAGTATAGAAGCTTTTTATGTCTGAATAGCTGATCTGAACCCATGGGTCAAGTTATGCTTCCACTTTCAAAAGAGAGAAGAAGACTCTGCTAAAATTACAGGTACCCCAAATGGCACATTGCAGCCATGACCAAGTGTAGCTTTTCTCTTAGAGGCTTGCTCCAGTTGGAGTCAAAAACCTATCAGGACTATAGCTTTGTGTGACATATTTCTATTTAGCAAATGGGAAGGAACAGTTGGGGTGCTCCATGGAGGTGTGGGATGATAGATGAAGACTGTATCCCCCCAAATTATGCTTGGCATTGCTTTCTATATTACCAACAGAAATTGAAATACAACAATTGCTTTGTTGTTGTTGTTGTTTAGTCGTTAAGTCGTGTCCGACTCTATGTGACCCCATGAACCATATTGCGCCAGGCCTTCCGGTCCTTCACTGCCTCCCTGAGTTTCCTCAGTTTCATGCTCATT